TCAGTCCTCAGAACCCATGTAAAAAAAGCCAAGCCCAATGTCACACTCTTGTAATCCGAGCACTGGGGAGCAGAGACAGGATCCCTGGGATTTGCTGACCAGCCAGCTAGGCCTACTCAAACAGGGAGCTATCCTGTCTAAAAACAAGGACAGCTCCTGAGGAACAACATCCAAAGTCATCTTCTGGTCTCCACATGCATGCATGTGAACCCACACACACAGGAATATGCACACACAAAAGGATCTTTATATTTGAAAACTGTTACTCCAGCTTTGACTTCTCCTCCAAACAGTCTCAGATCTCTATATGCCAATCCCAGTCTGTTAATCCTAATAAACAGGCACAAGTCTCTGCCTTCCATTTTGGCTCCACAGTCAACAACTAGAGATAAATACCTACTAGCGCCTGCTTGACACCGAATATGGAACAAGGTTCTTCGCACATCTTTGCGTTCTAGGTTTGCTTTTTTCTCATTTGGGTGTTCATGTTGCTCAGTATCTACTGTAATTCTTTTTGTTTTTTATTTTTTTCTTTTTTCCTTTTTTTCATATTTTTGTTTTTTTTAATATTTTTCTACTGTAATTCTTAATGTGTTATACTTCCAAATGACAGATAATTTTTATAGCTTGCCTTTTTTTCTATTTTATAATTTTACTGTTTGAACATTTGTACTTCTCTGTTGTGCTAGAATACTTTAAAATTTTGCACTATGGCCTCTAAATGCTGACCCTGAATATAAACCAATGGAGGTCTTCCTGGTTGTTATTAAAGCCACTCTGTATACCGGGATGACTCCAGAAAAGAAAAGTTTATATACTTTTAGCTTCTATACTGACCTTTACCTGGCCTTTCTTGATTGGGCTTACTTTTTAAAATTATTTAGCCAGGCATGGTGGCACATGTCCTTAATTCCTGTACCTGGGAGGCAGAGGCAGGCAGATCTCTGTGAGATCAAGGCCAGCCTGGTCTACATAGCGAGTTCCAGACCAGCTGGAGCTTCAGGGAAACCTTGTTTCAAAACAAGAAAACCCCACAAAATAAAAAATTGTGTGTGTGTGTGTGTGTGTGTGTGTTGGGTGGGAAGCAAGGAGCATACATTGCACACGTGTGGAGACCAGAGGTCAACTTTTTGGAGTCAGTTCTCTTCTTTTACCTTTACATGGGTTCTAAAGATTAAATTCATGTCACCAGGCTTATGTAGCAAGTGCTTTTGTGCACTCAGCCATGTATCTGGCCTTTTCTGTTGAGCTTATTTATATGACAGTATAACAAAAGTTATTTCATCAACTTTTTTCAAAAGTTTCTCATGAAATATTTATAACTAATACCACTCTACATGTGTAAAAGAGAGGTCAATATTCAGCAGTACTTTAGAACATTGAGGTTTCTTCCTCAGAGTCATAATTGAGAAAGGCCAAGGATGAATGTGGTACAAATTACATGATCCAGACCATATATATTTTCTCCGTAAAAGTAACAGTCATGAAATTAAATCTAAAATGGTTTAAGATAGAGCAGTCTGAGTTTCCTTCTCTGAGAACTACTATAAACTATCAAGTAATTTATTTGAAAGATTTATTGTGTGCACACATGTATGTGTGTGTGCACAGGTCTGTGGAGGTGTATGCACATATTTGTGTAGATGTACTATCCATGTAAGTGTGTATGGAGTCAGAGGTCTATATTGGGTGTCTTCCTCTTTCACTCTCCATGGTGTATATTTTGTGTGTGTGTGTCTGTCTGTCTGTCACAGGGCTGTCACTGACCCTGAAGTTCACTACTGTTTTAGTTAGACTGTCTGGCAAACTCCTGGGCTCTGCCTGTCTTGCCCCCCAGCACTGGGATCACAGACACACACGGCTGTGCCTAGCTTTCACATGTGGATCTAAAGCACGTCCTCATGCCTCACACCAAAACCTTCGCCCACTGAACCATCTCTTCAGCTCAGATTTATTGTTTATCTTTCTTTATAAGAATTATACACTGAGCCTGGCATGGGTGCGCATGCCTTTAATCCCAGCACTGGGAGGCAGAAGCATGCCGATCTCTGTGTTCAAGGCCAGCCTGGTCTACATAACGGGTTTCAGGCCAGCTGAGACTGCAGGGAGACCCAATCTCAAAAGACCGGGAAAAAAAAGAAAAAAAAAAGAGTTACACACTGTATTAAGACATGAGTTTGTATCTTTTGTCACTTAGCCAGGCTTAAAAGTTGAGGTCATGTCAGTTTGTGAGATTTTGTGTAACTTTTTTTTCTCCAGTTCTTCAAGAGTTTGCAAATATAGTTCATTATCTCAGTATGCTTTAATTATTTTCATATGCTAGGATGCAAGTTACTTAGGTACATAGCTTCAGTGAAAGTATGCTTTAAAGATCATCATTTTACAAGTCACCTCATTCACACCCAGCTTGTTCTAGTAGCTTTGCTGTTTCTGGGGTAGACGGCATTCCCATACTTTCATTTGTTTCTATTCTTCCTTCTTATCCAGGAGAGTTGCCTATTAAATTTCTCCTTTTAGCCGGGCATGGTGGCACACACCTTTTTAATCCCAGCACTCGGGAGGCAGAGGCAGGCGGATCTCTGTGAGTTCAAGGCCAGCCTGCTCTGCATAGTGAGTTCCAGGACAGCTGGGACTACAGGGAGACCCTGTCTCAAAAAGACCAAAAAAAAAAAAAAATCTCCTTTTATTCTTTAACATGTTTAAATATTTAGTCTCTGTCTTATAAGTAAGTCTTTAATTTTTCCAAAACTATTTCTCTCCACATCTAAAATAATCTATATGTGTAATGTTTTTCTGTTTGCACCATTAGTCCTTGAACAAGTCTGTTTAGCTAACTTTCTTCTTACTACCTCATCCTTTAAAAAGGGGAGTCTTTTGTTTCTTTTTCTTTTTCCGTGTGTGTGTGTGTGTGTGTGTGTGTGTGTGTGTGTGTGTATGCATGGATATTCATAGGGAGAGGAGCATATGGATGTGTGCATGCATCCATGTGGAAGCCATGGACTGATGTCTGGAGTCTTCTATTAATCTCCACCTTATTCATTGAGAGAAATCTCTGAATTGAACCCAGAGCTTGCAGATACTAGGGATTCTGTCTCCACCTTCTAAGGTCACATTTCTGTTGCTGTGATAAAACACTGTGACCAAAGCAGTTTATAGAAGGAAGAGTTTATTTGGCTTAGGGTTCAGAGGGTTAGAGTTCATAATGGTGGGAGAGGCATGGAGGCAGAGGTAAGCTGGAACAGAAAGCCCAGTAATCACATCTTCAAGCAGGTACAGGAAACAGGCTGGAAATCTGGCAAGGTTTAAGAACTCTCTAAGCCTGCCCTGAGTGATGTGCTTCCTCCAGCAAGGCCACACCTCTTAAAACCTCCCAAAACAGTGCCACCAACTGGGGACAAAATGTCCAAATCCTTGGAGTCTATGGGAGCCATTCATTCAAACCACCACACCAGGACTAGAATTAGCAGGCTACCACACCCACTTGGCATTTACTTGGATTCTGGGGATGCAAACTCGTATTCTCATACCTGCTTCTTGTATGGCAAGCACTTTACCTCCTGAGCCATCTCACCAGCCTATCTTTGGTTTCTTAAATAGAACAGCTTTTGCCTCATTTGCCTGTTGATTTTTTTTTTCTAGTTCCTTTTACTCATTTTAAATTTCTAAATTTCTATTTCTCAACATGTCAATTTTTATGTGTCTCTGGAGCATTGATGAACATGACTTTCACCAAAAATGCAATCCAGTGCTTTGACTCGGGCACAGGTTATCTTTTAATAATCTTAATTTTTGAGCCAGTGAGATGACCCAGTGGATGAAGGCACCTGCCACCAAGCTGGCAACCAAAATTTGATTCCTAGTTCATGGCAGAAGGAGAGAACCAAGTCCCAAAAGTCATCCTTGGACCTATACAGCCAAACACACACACAATAATAATGAATAAAATAAATAAAATCTTAATTCTCGGGCCATGAATATCAGAATAAGGAATCATTACTACAGAATTTTCTCCATATCTGTCCAAGTATATTCTCAACAGCATGATTTTTTGACAGTTAAAATTTTTATCAAGATTAATTCCATCAGACCCAATTTCAACTACAGTTAAGAGATTTCTGAAAATGTGGAGACCCAAGTGTTCCCCCTTGGGATCAGATATGTGCATGTTAGTTTTAAAGCCACAATCACTTTTCTCGGTCTTAGCTAAGATCAAATGTAATTTTGAAGTTATTTTTGGTTCAGAAATCTGTTATCATGTCATAGTTATATTTAAATTTAATTGTCAGAGCCTGAAGTTTTGTTGTTATCCTCTTTTTCTCTTGATTCTACTCCCCTGTCAGGTCTGGTCTTCAACAACATCTTTAACTAACAATGAACATGTCTTTTAAATAAGTTTAACCATGTTTCCTTTTTGTAGGTAAACTTGGTATCAATTTAGTTAGTTCTTTCTCCTCTTTTATAATTCTAGAAACTACCTGTATCAGTGTGTGTGTGTGTGTGTGTGTGTGTGTGTGTGTGTGTGTGTGTGTGTTTATGGTTTGAACCCCATGCTTTATACAGACAACTCCTCTACAACCAAGTCACACCACTGCCATTATTTGTCATATATATATTTAAAAAAAGTGAAGAGATGGACCTCACTCTTTCTTTGAAGGTTGCATTTTACTCTACAAAGAAAAAAGCTTTAGAAATTACTATTAGAAAATAAAAATTTCTCTTTTCAGTATATTTTCCAATAATTTTTTAAGCCTTAGGATGATTATTTTTTCAGGTTTTGGAAAGGTTAGTTAGACAGTCTATCTTTAAAGAATGTATTATGTAAATGCAACTAAGTAAAAAGTTTGTCTTTTTAAAAGAATGTACAAAATCAGTTTCACCAAACATTCTAGACTTGGTTTTGGAGGAAAGTTGTATGGTTTTAATAGCAGTCCCTAAGTCACAAAAAATGGAAAGTACGTTTTCTTGATAGTAATTGTTGACATATCTCTGTTTCTCCACAGAGTGATGACAGATCTAATGTCCTATCAAGTTTCCCTACAACAGAAACAGGTAATAGACACAAAAATGCTATATCAAGATACTTTGGTATATGAGAGAGAGCCTTGCTCTGAGGCCCAAGCTAGCCTTGAACTCTAGATTTTCCTGTTCAGCCTCCCAAATCCTGGGATTACAACAGTTGCCTACCACCAGGTCTACCATAATCATTATTGTTTATCAGGATTTATTTATTTATTTGTGTGTGTGCGTGTGTGCATGCGCGCGTGTGTGTGTGTGTGTGTGTGTGTGTGTGTGTGTGTGTGTGAGTCTCGTGGCCCATGCCTTTTGCTGGGCTTGGTGATTCAAGCCTTTAATCCCAACACTTGTAAGGCAGAGGCAAACGAATCTCTGTGAGATTGAGGCCAGCCTGGTCTACATAGTGAGTTCCAGGCCAGCTGAGGCTACAGGGAGACCCTGTCTCAAAACAACATCAACAGCAAAACCCCACAAAACCAAAAATTATTTATGGAAGGGGGCAGGGGACAAGGAGCATGCATGCTATGGCACACATGTAGAGATCAGAGAGTTATGTGGTTCTGGGGATCAAATGCATCAAACCCAGGGCTTTGTGCATGCCAGGTAAGCACTCTACCAACAGAGCTACCACCCTGGCTCCTCTGTTCCAGGATTTTTTTTAATACTAGTTAGCCATTTGATAAGGAAAAATGAGTGTGAATTAGGGCTGTAGGTTTGCAAGTTCAGTGTATTAACTTTTATTCTGCACTTGTTGATTTACTCAAAATAACATAAGAATTTAAAAATAATGCTGGGCGTGGTGGTGCACGCCTTTAGTTCCAGCACGTGGGAAGCAGAGGCAGGCGGATCTCTGTGAGTTCAAGGCCAGCCTGGTCTACATAGTGAGTTCCAGGACAGCTGGGGCTATAGGGAGACCCTGTCTCAAAAATACTGAAAACAAAAAGAAGAATTTGAAAACGAACAGGGAGACTCCTGCTTTCATGATTTCTTTCCTACATGAGAACTTTTCATTAATAAATAATTCTCATTTTTAAAAATATTTTATTTCTTATTTTTATTTTATGTGTATGCCTGTATTGTCTGTGTATAGGTAAGTGCACCTGTGTCGTGCAATGCCCGCAGAGGACAGAAGTGGCTGTTGGATCCCCTGGAACTGGAGTTTCAGACAGTTGTTAGCTGCCATGTGGGTGCTGGGATTTGAACCCAGGTCTTCTGCAAGAACCACCAGTGTTCTTAACCACTGAGCCATCTCTCCAGCCCCATAATTCTCATTTTATATCATTGCCATTTTTACTTGTTTCTTTTTGTTCCACTTATTGAACTTTTGTGACATTTGCCTAAATGTGTTTGTGCTGCTTTCCATCTCCTTTAACACCGTTTTGCTTTTCCATGCTGGTTTAGTCCATCATTCTCCTGCATATTCTTTTCCTGCTGCTACCCAGAGAAATCAGCCCCAGCGCCCCGAAAGCTTCCTCTTCCGAGCAGCTGTTAGGAGAGAAACAAATAAAGGTAAGTGATAGTGATTTCAAGTCATGGCAGAATAAGGGTGACTTAACACAATGGCATTCACTCTTTCGTGCTTTTAAACTTACATACCTAGCTACCACCTTGGCAAAAGCTTTAAACTCTGCAGGTGTCTGTGGTCTCACATTAAATCAGGGGCATCTTATTTGAATTTTTTTTTAATTAGAGTTTCTTAAAAGTACCACATGTAAGACAGGTTTTACAATATTTCAACTAAACTGGGCATGATGCCGCAGAACTTTAATCCCAGCATGTAGGAGGCTAGGACAGGGGAACAGATTTCAAGGCCAGCCTGGGCTACATACATTGCAAGACCCTATCTCAAAAGCCCAAAGCAAAACACAGTTTGGCATATAAAACACTTTTTTTAAGGTTTTTTTTTAATTTTTTATGTATATGTGTATTGCCTGCATGTAGGTAAGTGCACCCGTGTCGTATAATGCCTGAGGAAGTCAGAAGAGGCTGTCGGACAGTTGTTAGCTGCCATGTGGGTGCCGGGATTCAAACCCGGGTCTTCTGCAAGAACAACCAGTGTTCTTAACCACTGAGCCATCTCTCCAGCCCTATAAAACACTTTTAAAGAACATTCTTCCCTTTTGTAATGAGCTCCTTCTCAGACTTTTCTGTATTGATAACCTCTTGAACATTTGTATACCCAGTATCAGCAGTTTTACTTTGAGAAATATGCCACATGCAAAACAGCAGGTTGATATAAAATATTCACAGCAACATTATTTATAATGGTGCCAAATTGAATATTCATGAATAGAAAGGACATGAACCATGGTGTATCTATACAGTGAAATATATAAATAATGAAAATTATATATACAACAATATTGATAGATTTTATAATGTTCATCAAAAGAAACCAGACACAAAAAAATGCACATAATACGGTTTAATTTATAGAAAGTTCTCAAAAATGAACAAAAGTAGCCGGGCGTGGTGATGCACTCCTTCCATCCCAGCACTCGGGAGGCAGAGGCAGGCGGATCTCTGTGAGTTCAAGGCCAGCCTAGTCTGCATAGTGAGTTCCAGGATAGTTGGGGCTACAGGGAGACCCTGTCTCAAAAAGACCAAAAAAAAAGAACAAAGTCATCTATGGTGTTTGAGCTTAGGATACGGTAACTTTGGTTTCTGATGGCAGAGAACATAAGGGGTTTTCAGGTCTGGGTAAGTTTCATTTATAGCTTTTAGCTGTTTCACTTTGTGAGGATATTTTATTGGCCTCTGTTTAGAATCTGTGTAATTTTCCATATGTGTGGTATTTTTCAATAAAAACATTTGTAAACTGATATATTCAAACTGAAATGTTTAATACTATTCTGTCATTATTTCATATATTTGAAATATCAGCTGCAAGTGGTGCCTCTTGCTACTGCCCAGCCCACCACCTCTTACAGTTTACTTAAGAAGCCTGTTTTCTGTGTAAGTCACAATAATGCTTTTCAAAAGTCAATCCAGAAAGTAGAAAGTGCTGTGTTGACAAAGAAATGCGTCAGACAAATGTGTTTTCTTGCACTGACATCAGCCTCTCTCCCACGTGTTGATATTTTTGTAGGTCATGCTTCACCCCTCCTCCCATCTTCTGTGCCTGCCACTGACTCTACAGATCCCACGATAAGACAGAAAGAAGAAGAGCTGAAGTTAATAGATCAGCTACGGAAAGTGTGTACATTGCCTTTGACTTGTGCTTTTGCTGTGGAATTGCTACATTCAAGTCCATAGTCCTGTCGTCATGTGATCATTTGACACATTATTACTGCAGAATCAGTGTTTCCATTGTATGGTGTGTTTTATGATGGATGTAAAAGAAATTCTGTTAAGGAAATTCCTTTAGCCTTAGTACTAAGAAAATTAGACGAGTTATTCTAAAAGCTCAATTCTTAGCCATGATCATTTAAGTTTTTTTCCATTTATTTTACACATTACATTATAAAGAAATCTTAGAAGAGTAGTAATAATTTATATGTGCCAGGCACAGTGGTACATGCCTATAATTCCAGCATTCAGAAAGTTTGAAACTCTTTGTTTTTGTTTTTTTTCTTTCTTTTTTTTAAAAAAGGGTTTGTTTTAATTGTGTGTATGTGTGTGGCTATGTGGATATGTCCAAGTGAGTGCAGGTGCCTGCCGATACCAGAAGAGAGTACCTGATGTGGATGCTGGGAACTGAACTGGTTCTCTGCAAGAGCAGTATGTGCTCTTAACTACTGAGCCATCTCTACAGGTCTCACCGTATAGCCTGTCTGGCCTGGAACTCGCTATGTAGACCCAGCTGGCCTTGAACTCACAAAGGATCCACCTACCTCTGCCTCACAAGTGTTGGCATTTAAAGGCTTGCACTACCATGCTCAGCAAAAGACCTTTTCTTAGAGAATATAGGCTGGGAGTGGTGGCACATACTTTTAATCCCAACACTCAGAAGGCAGAGGTATGCAAGGGCCCAGCCTGGTCTACCTAGCTAGTTCCAGGCCAGCTGAGGCTACAGGGAGAGCCTGTCTCCAAAAAACAGAGAAAGAAAGAGACAGAGAAAGAGAGAATTTATGTGCATGTACACATATCACACACACACACACACACACACACACACACACATATACATATACACATTGAGGAATTGGCCATTTTGTTTAAGGATTGAATAAGAATCTAATTTAGGTTTATTTCTTTGTTTGAGACATGGTCTCATTATGTAGTTCAGGTTGGCCTTGAACGCTTAGTCTTCCTCCCTGTGCCTCTCTAGTCCTGGGATTATAGGCATGTACCACCATGCCAGGACTCTCCAGGTTGTTGGTATTTTTAAATCATAAACTTGTATTTTTGCACCACAGTAACCTGAATGCCGTACATACATTCAGTCTCTATAAGTTATTGACTTGAAATAGAAGGATAAAATAACAGTGATTGTGGTAGTTATTTCCTTTTTCTGGACTTTTTTTTTAGAAAGGGTCTCATTATGTAGCAAGCCTGGAACTCACTGGGTAGCCCAGGCTGACCTTGAACTTGCGGTAATCCTGCTGCCTCAGAGTCCTAAATGCTGGGTTTATAGGCGTGTGTCACCATGTCCAGCTTTCTTCTGGATTTCTAATAGATATATTTCATTGTAACATCTTTGCATCCTATCTGTCAATCACTCTTAACACATTCTGTTTTCCTGTCCTTGCAGCATATTGAATACCGGTTAAAAGTGTCTCTGCCCTGTGATCTTGGAGCTGCTCTAACTGATGGTGTTGTTCTTTGCCACTTAGCCAATCATGTTCGACCTCGCTCTGTCCCAAGCATTCATGTCCCCTCACCAGCTGTGGTAAGTTGCAATGCTAGGAAGCCCTGGCTTGTTTGATGCTATTCAGCACATGGCACCATTGTGCTGGATGTTAGTGACACAGATAACACAGGGCCTGTCCCCGGCCTTTTCTGCCTCACTTCAACTAGAGAAGAAGCATCCGTGTTTACAGCATGT